TTGCCCGGGAGACTCAGCAAGAAAGAGGAGGTGAAAGCACTGAACAACGCATACCAGAAGCTGGCAAATAGGAAAGGCATCCAGTTTCACCAAACCAAGCGATTCACAATTGGGGATGCTCTCGGAAGACGGACTACACCCAGCCCCAGAGAAGATACAAGAACTCGCCAAGGATATGTTCAACGCCTTGAAGGTCATCAGCTGATGTGCCCATTCGAGGGACGACTAGCTGTTCTTCCGGATAGGCTTGTACAGAGGAGTGCACCAAGGCCTCATACGAGGCTTAACTGGAGCGACGACGAAGCCTATCCAGTGCCTGGAGTTTTGAAGTATTCCACAGACACAGAGGAAACTTATCGATGTCCAAATTCCTGGTTGAGATTGAAAAACATTATAATAAGTTAAAAGTCATAATCTTGTGTTACCACATGAGATTCAGGGATGACAACTGCTGGAAACAGCCGACTTGCAGTAATCACAGACAAACACTTTTGTCCGCTGTTACTTGGCTAAACTATGGCGAAGTAAAAGTTTTGCGACAGATGTTTGTTGGCATCGGAGCGATTGGAGAAGAAAGTGTGGTAATCATGCTGTACAATACTGTAGTTGTATACATGGGCCAGCAAAGGAGGTAGTTCTGGTAGAGATCTTGACAACGAGGTTCTACGCGCATTCGCCATTTAGCAATAGAATTTATGAAAAAAATGACCTAGTTTTATAATTATGCTTTTCTAAAGTTCAAGTAGAACATGTTAATCTCGACTCTGGCACGATTTTGTAGTTGCTTGTGCTTCTCACAACAATCTTCATTAAGTATCTGATTTTACCGCTGCGCAGATAGCAATCGGCTCAAATCCAGACTTTTCTGGCAACTTGGATGCGATTCTGCCAGCCCTTGAAATTGAAACAATGTCTCATTATGTTGCTGCAAGGATTGGCGCGCTTGGGAAAGCTCGGAAGTCCTTTATCTAGAATGAGATAATCGAGCGTATTCGCAGAGCTCTGAGGCACAACGTTCGTAACAGGAAACATGAATCTGAAACCTGTTAGAAATGGCGGACAAGTACTAAAAAATACGAGCCGGACCTATCTGCCACGTTGATTGATGATGATTTCTGACAAATTCGAGCCACATGCTGTGCTTGGGACGGAGTCAGTTATTCGTGGATCCCAATAGAACAAATTGGTGGACGAGAATGACTATCTGCCTGACACGATAGAGTCAACTGCACAGAACAGTGCAGCTGAAACCAACAAACAGATAGCGAAGTTCTTCGCAAGGTCAGAACACTATTTTTGGCTCAACGGAAAGAACTTGCCCAGTAACAAAACCCTCTGAAGCACAATTTTCCAATGAAACTCTGCCACAGTTTCAGGAAAGACAGAAGATCGACGTAACAGCAGCTAAAGTAATAAAAAAGAGTGCCACAGTGAAGATCACAGTAATTATAGAAAATGGCAAAGAAGATTTCGCCGGAAAATAGAAAATCGAGCAGGAAAGGCAAATGGTAAACGGAAAACCTAATAAAATGTAGCTTATCAGGTGCCAGAAGACTTTACAGGCAAGAGATTGGATGAGTAAATTTTATCAAAATACTGATTTCAACGTCATAGATGAGGGAAGTGTTTCGGCGTTTTAGAGCCTAGTGACGTTAAGTTTACCGGCGAACTGACTTCATGGAAAGAGCTTTCTGTTTTTGCACCAGTGAAGAATACAGGCCAAACGACAATTGACAAACGTTGGGTACTGATCTTGAAGACAACCGAAGATCGCGCTTTGGGGCGCCGAGTAGTTTCACGTGGTTTCATGGATCAAAACATTTCCCAATAGTTTCTCGACAAACTATCAAGCTGTTTTTCTCCGTAGCCAGTAATCACAGTTGGAAAATCAGCAGTTTGGATATCAAAACCGCATTTTTCAGTGATTCTCTCGCTCGTGACAAGAGATTGCGCATCGACATTACAGCTATCAAAAAATATCGCATTGAAAAGGTTTGGCGGTAAAACGGTTCCTACTCATTTGCAATTATCATATAGCTTACTTAACAAAAAAAATCTGCTGTACCAGCAAAATTAATTAGCGTCATCGAAACCGGCGTATTTGAAAGTCTGATTGCTGACAGAGACGCTGCTTGCATCACCTGCTAAAACTCGATATATTTACGGTCAAACAATGTTATAAGCCCCGCAATGGGTCGCACATTAAAATTCAAAAACAAAATAGGCAGTTAGCTAAGTACGCAACTTGTCTTGAAATTGATGTCTTGTAACAGTTATAAATCAAAAAATTTATGCATACTTTTATTCAGATATTAGATTGTACATTGTTCCTCATTTCATTGTTTTTAAGAAAAAAACAATTTTAACAAAAATTGTAAAGAAAATGATAACTTAGAGAAAATTCAAGATCTAGGTTAGTTCGTTTAAAGACCTATTATGAAGTGTAACGCCTTCAAATTTTCCTAGGACTACTACTACTTATGCGTTAATTGTCCGTTTTCCCGTTGTACAATTTTCCAAAAGAATATTTAATCATTTAGTACCTCTATTCAAAATTAAATGGCTTGTTGTTTTAGTTTTACAATAAGGAAGCTCAAAGCAAGTATTTTTTGGTTTTCGCATTTTATACGTGAATTCTCTTACTCTATAAAAACTAAAAAATATAGATAAAAAAGTGAGACAAAAATATAGATAAAAAATTTCAAGAAAGAAAAATTTGATAGATACCAATGATAGAAAAAAAAAGATAGACAAAAAGATAGATCATTGAGATAGATAAATAGATAGATAAAAAAAGAAGGCAAAATGATAGATAAAACATGTTAAAAGCCCTGAAACATGTCAACATAGGGAACTCTAAAACATGGCTGGAAATGTCTAGCTCAATTAAATAATACCAGCGTTTAACGCACCTTCGGTGCTTCGAAATTTTTCGACAGCTCATGAAAAACCGCATATATTGGAAACAACATCTGCAAACTTTCAGTGAACTCTGATTGCACCCAATTACAGGGTTGGTAATTTCGAACTTTTAAATTTTTTTAATTTCACATTTTAAAAGCGTCATCTCGAAAATTTAATGGGCCTCTGGAGAAATTTAAAATCCAGATTTGAAAGCACTGAGAGTCCCTGAGAGCACCCTACTATAGGGTTGCGAATCCAAAATTTTGTGAATTTATTTAAACTTAAGTTTCCCGAAAAAAAATTGAAAAAAATTTGAAAAAAAACATCTTATCTCGGAAACTAAAAGGATTTGAGCATTCATATTAATAGGCAAGATTTGAGACGCCTAGATGTACGCTGACAATAAGGTTGTATCTTCATCAAGTTTGTAGTTTCAAATTTTTTGAATTTCTTTGTAGATAAGTTCTTCTGGAAATTTTGAAAATCAAAAAACGTCACATCTCAGAAACTAAAAGCATTTGAGCAGTCGCAGGTGGCAAGATTTGCAAGTCTTTAGAGTACACTGACAACACTGAATTATAGCGTTGGAAATTTCAAATTTTGAAAAATAATAAATTTAAAGTTTCTGAAGTTTTCTGAACATTTTGGAAAAAATCACAAAAAACGTCATATCTCGAAAACTACAGAGAATTGAGCAGTCATGATTGGAGGCAAGATTCGCAATCTTTGAGAGTACTCTGACAGGATCTAACTACAGGGTTGGGAATTTCAGATTTTAAAAAAATAATAATTCAAGTTTTCTGAAAACTTTTGAAAAAATCACAAAAAACGTCATATCTTGAAAACTACAAAGAATTGAGACGTCATATTTGGATGCAAGATTCGTAATCTTTGAGATTACACAGACAAAACCCAACTACAGGGTTGGCAATTTCAGATTTTACGAAAAAAAAATTAATATAAGTTTTCTGAAAATTTTTTTGAAAAAATCACAAAAAAAACGTCATATCTCGAAAACTACAAGGATTTGAACAGTCACATTTGGAGGCAAGATTTGTAACTCCTTCGAGTACTCTGATAGCACCCAACTACAAGATTAGAAATTTCAAATTTTGAGAAATAATTAAAATTTTCTGAAAATTTTTGAAAAAATCACAAAAAAACATCATATCTCGAAAACTACAAGGATTTGAACTGAACAGTCGGCTCTTTTTCCTTTTCCCCTCACCTCACTCAAACATGATTTTTATGGTCTAACGAGTTGTTTTACAAGGTTAATTATGAAGACCAAATATGTTTGTCATGGCCTAATTAGTCTGCATGGCAATTTTCATGACAATCGGACAGAGTGAACAGTAACTTCAAGTATAAAAAATTGCAGGTGGGGGGAAAAGGAAAAAGAGCCGAACAGTCATATTTGGAGGCAAGATTTGTAACTCCTTGGAGTACTCTGACAGCACCCAACTACAGGGTTGGGAACTTCAAGTCTTGTAAATTATTTTATTATTTGAAATTTCTGAAAACTTTTGAAAAAATCTCAAAAATCGTCTTGTCTTGTCAACTAAAATGATTCGGGCATTCAAAATTGGAGGCCAAATTCGCAACCCGTAATTCGATATTGGGCTGCTGAATTTAAACTCGGTAAAATAACCACTAAAATCAAATTGGAAAATCGAAAAAAATTCTCAACCATTGCAATATACGATATATCTTAAACATAAAAATAATACGTTGAAAAAGCTCAAACATGGCGAGATAGTGGAGCCCGCATTTAAATATATAATAGATATAGACTATTTGTGGTACCTGATTTTGTGTGGAAAATAAAAAGAAAAAAAGATACTAAAACACCCGAATACAAAGTTCCTCCACATTTTTCAAATGGTCAGAACAGCAGAACAGAGAGCTAAAATTTTACAACGAACAAATCTGCACGACCTCATTAATACGTGAAACAATTGATGAATCATTAACAACATGCAATATAATTGTTAAATTACTTTTGGCAACATTTGAAGTGATTTTTCGCAACATAACTAAATTTATATTTTTGAGAAAAAAGTACAGAAATTTCCGTTAAAAAGCAAAGAACATACATCCATATTGTTGGCTAAAGCAGCTCCCGCCGTAGGTCCGTATCCAGGTAAAATGGCCACTACTCCGGGAGGAAAGCCCGCCTCCTTGCACAGGGCAGCTATGTATAGAGCAGTGAGAGGGGTCTGCTCGGCTGGTTTACCAATGAACACATTGCCACAGGCTAGGATAGGCGCTAGAAAAATACGAGAAAAATTCAGCTAGCTTTAATGAGAATATGCAGGTTTACACCGAAACAATCAAGTGCTTTCAGTTCTATTCTTTCCATGACATTCTAGAAAGTCTATTAGCTTCTTGCCTAGTTTCAGAGTGAACATGGCAATTGGGTAGTTCCATGGAGTGATAGCAGCACAGACTCCAACTGGTTGTTTTTTTGTCACGGCAAAGTAGTCGCCGTCACAGGGAATATTCTGTCCACAGATCTTGTCACACCAACCCGCGTAGTATCTGATGACACCAGCTGTGAATTTGATGTCGTCCTTGGAATCCTGGAACAATTTTCCGCAATCGGCCGTTTCCAGCTCCGCCATGTACTCAATGTCTCTATAAATAGAGCTGACTGATTGAATTGACATTCTCCGACAACCTCTTGCTTTGACTTTTTATAAAAACTTTCCTTGTTTAAAGGTTCTATGCAAGATTTCCGCATGTCGGCGTAAACTTTTAGTAGTAGTAGTAGTAGTAGTAGTAGTAGTAGTAGTAGTAAAAGATTTAGAGACAGTTCTCAAGGGTTCGCACCCAGATTCAAGCTCATCAGTTTAGCTTTATCTTGTTCGTGATGTTACAGTTTCCACATCTGCATATTATTCTCCATGTGCATTTTTGAACAAACACAGGACAGAAAATCATTGGTCTCACCGCTCAAATAGATCTGCCAACTTCAGAAGCAGCATTCCTTTTTTGGAAGCATCAATTGATCTCCAGGCAGATCCAATTTGGAACGCTTTCTTCGCAAGTTCAACAGCAACGTCCACATCAGCTTTATCAGCCTCACATATATCAGCTAGTTTGGTTCCATCAGCTGGATTGACTGTTTCAAAGGTCTTCCCAGATTTGGCTTCATGCCACTCATTGTTGTAGAACAACTTCGTGTATTTCACAGAAACTGACATTTTTCGAGCAAATCTAACCACTACGAAGCATGAAAATCTGTAATTCGATCTTAAATGATGACAAAACAAATGATGCAAGCTTTGGCTATGACGTAATAAAATCATTAAACCTGAAGTGGCCTATCCATATTTCAGAATCACTGTAGTGGTAACTAGGTCAGGCAGCTTCTGACCACTAGAATTATGTAGGGAAACGGAAGTTTCCTTGTTAGTAAATTGTTAAGATCATAACTTGAAACTTTTTAATAATCAGAAGGTCAAAAGTATTATAGTAACCGAGGTTACAGTTAGTAGTAGTAGGTAGTAGTAGTACGTAGTAAGTAGTAGTAGTAAGTAGTAGTAGGTCAGTCTTTAGAGCTCTTGGCTCAAGGGTTTGAACCCCACAGTTTTGGTCACTTATATTTTCGCAATTGCCAAAATTGCAGATGATTCTCCATGTGCATGAGTTATTTCAAAATATTGTTCAAAAAATTTCCAGTAGATTTTTGTTAAAACTGGCTTCGTCACCTCGCTAATCTCGTAGTTTAATTTCTTTGTGATGATGTTTAACAGTCTGCTAGATCTCTTCCAGAAGTTTTCATAGGCTTTTTTTTGTTCTTGTTTTTTTTCTATATTTATTTGATTACCGCTGGTTTGTCTTGTATTGATGTCAATTCCAGGGTTGTTCTTTATTGATATGGGTTTTCTGATGTTGTAGTCCCTTCATAACGTATCCCAGTCAAAATCCTTGGAATTTTCTCGATTATAGAAGTGATGATGACAAAAAAAAAGGTGATGATAAGTGTTGATGTCTTACAATTAAACTCGATACATGTTACGTTTCTTCAATAAGAACACGCAACTCATAAAAAATTTCGTCGAAAGTTGTTTTGTCAATTATTGTTCTGAGCACGCAAGCGGCATTCGCAATCTGAACTGCCAGGGAGATTCTCTGTTTTAAAAAGCTGCCTGCTTTGAGTTCCTCAGTGCATAAGCTTAGGTTCTTACGAAGCTTGCTCAAAAAAAACCTTTGCCGGGGCCGGCCGCGCCCTGAATCTCAAAAGCTAGCGGTTGAGAAAGATACCCATCATGTATTAAGTCTTTTTATTTGTCAATTTTCAGTCTTCCGCTTCAGTGGCATCCGAACCAGGGTTATAAACAGACCCGTCAAAATCCTTGGATATGGACACTGAACTTGAACTAGTTTGGCAAAGGTCAAAAATATTTAATGCGTTGACAGTTCTCAAACATCATAAATAATTCATGACATGTGCTAAACTGGTTCAAGTTATGATCTTTATATGACGCACAGCGTCCTTTTTGCGCCCCTCCCAGAATGCTTGATTTTTTTGTTGCCGGAACTGGCGCCGCCTGAAACAGTGGATAGGCATTTAAGAGTCTTTGCCTTCTATGCCACCCAGATAAAGGCGGAAGAAATAACTAACTCAAGCTACTGGTTGAAACCCGAAATAATCACCTAGATCCAGAGGCGAGAAAAGTCTTCAATAAAGGAGGCCTAGAAGCCTCAGAATATGTGTTCAGCCATAAAGTGGACACTCAAATAGGAAGTTCGTCTTTTTGACAAAATTGTTGATGTGCTCCATAAATATAGTCCCCTATAACGTGCTAAAAGTGGTAAAAATGTATCATGGGACACACACTGATTTGCAAAATCACCCACCGTAATTGCTCGGTCGTAAAGGGCCACTGAATGATCAACCCAACAGGTCTTTTCGGGGAATAGAACAAAGATTGAGTCTAATCTAAATTTAAAACTCGAATTATCTATAGATGCTTTAAAATTTGTACTTAAAGTTGATCTCGCAGTTTCTGAGATAATACAGGACTCTAGTATTGAAAATTTTTGTCAAGGAAGGGTTTATGAGCCAACTGATTGCTCTGAATCTTCAACTTTTACGATATTTCCGGGTTGCCCCGTTTCTATCCTTAATCTGGGTAAAAATTGATTTCCCCAGAATACGAATTTTTGCACTTGTCAGAGTTATTTAGTGCGTTGACAGTTCTCAGGCTTTATAAGTTTGCAAGGATCTTCGCCAAACTAATTCAGCTTATGATAATTGGAATTTACTTACAAGGAAACTTCCGTCTCCCGACAAATACAAATTTCAAGAAATGAAAAAAAAATGCAAAAAAGCTTGAACTCATGACGCGAAAATTTCTTCATAAGTAGTCAATACCTAGGAAATTTTCACACTGAATATTTAAAAAAAAGACATTTTCTTTTTTTTGGGATAATCAGAAGGTCAAAAGTATCATTGTAACCGAGGTTACAGTCAGGAATCACTTTACACATTTTTCAGTCAAAACCCTCAAAGTTTTCTGGATATGGAAGTAATAATGTTCAAGAGGGGATGATTAGTGTTTATATGTTTAAAAACAAACTCGATACGCGTTACGTTTCTTCAATAAAAACACGTATTTCAACACGAGAAAATATTAACAAAAATATATTGTGTTACAAGTAAGTTTCGTCGAAAAAAATTTTGTCAACTATTGTGCCTAGTACGCAAGCGGCGTTCACATTACATTAAATCTGCAAATAAACGTTTCGACCCATTGTTAGTGCATCTTTAGCTTTGAAATATACACTAGTAGACAAAATTAAGCAAAAATTCAAGAGCTTACTCCCTAGACCTAAAATGTCGTTTTTAGAATCCATTTTGGACATTTCGTTTAAAACGGACGAAAAATTTTACATACCCTCTAGCCTTTCCAGACCCAGATTTTTTTCTAAGTGTTTGAAACCAAATATTGATAGTTTAGACAAGGGTAGCTTTGGTCATTTGCTATGCGTCTATGTAAAACTCTTACCAGTTTCGAAGAAAACTGTTCAAAAATATTTGGGTAAAAAAACGGTAAATTCCCACGCAGTTTTAACGCAAGAACACGGAACTTGAACGAATACTAGACGAAAATCTAGGAATTTTACCGCAGACAATTAATTTTATATCAACTGTTTGAAATTTGGAATAAACATTTCCGACTCTCTGATTAACTTTTGAATTTTTGGCGTTGTGAAGTGCTTTTTAATTTTTGCGTTGTGAATTGCTTTTTAGTTTTGGCGTGGTGAATTGGTTTGTAGAATTCGGCGCTGCAAATGCGATCCAAAAAATGTTGTTAAACCATAGAACGAAGGTTTTGCTACAACTGACATCAAGAGGTCTGTACACCTAAAAGTCAAAGAACTGGAAATGTGAAGGATTTTTAAAATCAAATGTTATAATGATTAAAAACTATGATTATCTTAGAATATTACATAATATTGAATCGATTTTTTCTAGAAATTGCTTTTCGGGACTCGTTTTGTTCTCCAAAACACTTCCGAATCGATACCCAAGTTTCTCGACCTTGTTTAATCAAAATCTGCGGTCGAACTACTTCTACTAATTATATATCTTTTAATTCAAAAAGAAATGGAATCGAGCTAAGTTTTCAAGCGTAAAGTTTTGGCTCCTGTACTCGTATCGTGTTCAATTGGGGCTCGCGTTTACTTATTTGGATTGCCTCCAATGAAAACATCTGCTCAACTACATTGCTTTTGTCAGTTTATTGCCATTAAATTAACTTAGATTGTCCACAGCATTCTGCGACAAGCTATCCAACTACCACGTCTTTTTATTTGATGCTCTGTTATCCATAAAACTAGATGTCGGCCGTTTGTCAACAGAGATGGAGGTACATCCACTACATTTGGTTTCATAAACGACGTTGTATTACAAGTTACAATCGAAAACTGACCTAAGCGACGGCTTGAGCTTTGAAATTTTTTTTCAAGTTTGAACTTAAGTTTTCTCGAAGATCGTATATAGTACAACGAAATGTTAATTTTCTAGCAATATTAGTTTCAATTTTGGCTTTCGGTGGGATTTTGATGTTTTAGTTAGAAGCTTTTGTCCCAAATATTTTTCAAAAATGACCTTGAACAAATTCTGATTTTGCACTTATTTTGTCCATGGTGTGACTAGTACTTACAAAATGATCAAAAACAATCAAAATGACAAACATATTAATAATTAAAGTTAATTTATTACATAACATCTAATATGCAATCAATTTCGAAAACTCCCGCCAAAACGTCATTTAGAGTTTTTTTTCCTAGTTTCCCACTTTAAAACTTTTGATCAGATTTTGTTCTTTAAGCCAATATTTCAATTTTTAAACCATTTTTTTTGTTTATGCAAATATTTTTGATTTGAAGCTACAGCTTCAGTGTCAGCTTTCTGCTCTTTAGTTCGTTTAGTGTGTTGAGCCCCGGTTTCGCTTTTCTAATATACAGCCTTTTTGATGTTAAAAACTAAAATTTGCTCTACTGGTCAATGATCTTGCAATTTAACTCTGAGCCGCCTGACAGTTTTAGTTATCCCCCACGGAAACATGGTGGTAAGGTACTTGTAGATTTAGCTTAAATTATTCTAGAAATTCAAAGAGCTGTATGGAGATCTTTTTTTTCTTCGAAGCTCAAAAAGTGAGACTTTTTCAAACAAAAGAAGTCAGTAATTTTTTCTCTTCAGTTGCATTAATTGAGTTTTTTTCAATTGTTTGTTGGCTCTGTTGATTTTTTTTCGAATCAGCGTGTAAAATTTTTTTCTTGGCGTTTTTTTCATGTATCTGCAAAAAGCAGCTGACTAAGTTTATGCTGATGGCTACTGAAATTTCTAAAAAGCATGTTAATTGAACAAAAAAAAATTAAATTAATAAAAGTCATATTATCACAGCAACGTTTTGAGTTTTACTACAATGCTTACGTCAAATCTTTGTTTTTTTTTATTTTTGATTTCTTCCTTGAAAACTTCCCTAATCTGTTGAAAAGAACTGAGTCGTTTTTTAGTTTGCTCATTTATCCCGACTTGATAACCCACGATTTATCGGCTTGAAATTTACACTTTTGTCAAGAACTTGTGTGTATTTAGACATGGGTACATATTCAGTAACTTTTATTGACATCTTTTCTACAAAAATTGGTTTTATCAGGCTTACTGCCATAGCAAAAATACATGCGGCTTCACAGGCACAAATCATCAGTACAACCAAAATCTTCTTGGATTAATCCATGGTACCGTTCATTGAGTTTTTTTGTAAACGGCGCAGCCAAGTGCGCAAGAAATTTTTTTTCTTTGCATCGCCTATAAG